AAATAATATAATGTTTATGTATGCGTTCTAAGCAATATTCTTTAAATTAGACATCAAATTAGACATTAATATAAACGAGAGGAAGAGATATATTTCGTAATTATGTGCACGATTATACTTCTATTTGTTATATCAATATTCATTATTCTAATATTATATGTCAAAGTCGGTGCTTTACAATACATATACTTGGAGTAATCAATTTACAATTAATTACTTCTATGTGCATTATATAATTAATTTTAAAGAGAGCGTCTCTACATATTCTGATCACTGCCGAGGTCTTGTTTGGCCTTTCTCTAGGTTTTCTTTTTTCTCTTCCTTTCCTCTCTTCTTAACAACATGACTTTGCAGTGATGCACTATATGATAACCTCAGCTGCCAAAGAAATCGCACAATCAGTCATTCGAGACATCATTTCGACGCTTGCGTGCCGCTGAAAAGGGAGAAATCTCGCCTTGGCTTCATTATATCGACAATAGCCAGATCTGCGGTCCAAAGTACAATCCTTCTCCCTTTCCATTCTTCATACCCTTCGTCTCCGGAAATCCCCTTTCGCCTCTCGTTTCGCACAGCTTCCTTTCCTTTCCGTCGACTCCCACCTTACTAAACACGCCCGTTTTCTTGAAACCGAAAACCATATACTTCTCGATGCTGCTTGCATCCCATTCTCCTTTTCCTCCTCTTCCGCCCCCCTCGACGAACGGCCGATGCACGTATAATAGCAGCGAAGCCGTGCCATAAAGCGGTACCCCATCATAAAGGCCTCTTCAATCCGTGAACGAGGAGGAAAAGAAGAATCGGAATGAGAATACCGCCTGCCTCCCTATCTAACATTCTCTCTCTCTCCACCTTACCTTGCCCACTATCTCAGTAGCGCACCCTTATTCCGACTTCGCAGACTCTTTTTTTCAATCCTAGATTCCTTCCACTCTTTCGAGATGGCGATGCTCGCTTCGAGGAGGCCGCGAATGTTGTGCGCAAAATGGAACGGTCGGGGACAGGTGGGACGGATAAAATAGGCGAGTGAATAAAAAAGGAAGACAGCGCGGGAAACACAAGGGAATTCTTGATCTTTTAGCAGGCTGACGCTTTTTATTCGCAGGAGGCAGACGTCTCTCTTTCTCTTAATTGTTTCACACTATTCGGCGACTTCTCAGCAATTCTGCGAGTAACATTATTTATACCTGGGAATTTCTTCCCTATCTTTTTCTTCCTCGACTTTAAATTTTAATGAAAAAATTTTGACTTAAAATAAAATATAATTTATTGATCAAAATAGAAGCCGTCTGAATAAATTGTTGTCACCGAGTTACAAATTGATAAATTCTACTTTTATAGAATTCTGGAATTAACGGAACTGCTTGAAAATGTTTTCAACAGCTTGCTGGTTAGTTGGTTGTTAAAACTGGTGCTGGTTATTAAAAACTTCTTTTTGCGAAAGTTATTTTATTGAAGAGATGTATATTTTTATCCTACTTTTTATATACTCATATATCATGTTCATTCGCTAATTTGTATGATGGTTTTTAACATCAAGCAAATTGCGATCTTAAATGTAGATGTATGAATTATTATGATTAGAAAAAAGGAGACGGTAGAAGGCCTTAAAATATCGATTTTTACAAAAACGCAAAGTGCAAAGTGAATAAAAAAGCATAATTAAGTGGTTTCTTTTGATATTAAATGTGTTTAGGAGAGAAAAAAAATTTGTATGAGAGAAGAGAAGGAAAAACGAGAGAGACATATATATATTTTCATATATATATATAGTAAAACATAGCAGAACATATATACACACACACATATATATATATATATATATATATATATATATGTTCTGCTATGTTTTACTATATATATATATATATAGTAAAAGACATGGCAGCACATAAATGCACATTGACGACATCGGCATGGATAACCCGCTTGCGTGAACCGCCGCAACCCTGTCGTTTTCAGTCGCCGCTGTAAAATATCCGGAAAGAATACGTGTAAGGGAAACGAATGGGGCAGTACGAATGGAGGGCGAAAAAGCGCGTACCGTAGATAGGGATCCCCTTACGAACGGCTTATGTTTCAATTTGCTCGGTCGCGAATAAAATTCCGTTTTACGAGGCGTCAAAATGCCACAATCTAAAATGCCAGAATCCCTTTGCCGGGCCCTTCGCTAATCGACTTGTCCTTGACATATTCACGTTACAACTTTTGTCTTTCAACCCTAATCTCTCTTAAGAGGGATGGCATCTTTCTGGTTTGTTTTAGAAGTGTATATATAAATGTGTATATAAATAAAATATATATAAAATTTTAATTTTTTTTTATTTAACTTTTAATATTTTGGCAAGTGTGTATTTTTTTAATTAAAATTAATTAAATAAGTAATTAAAGCATTTTTGTAATTAAAATTAATTAAATAAGTGTGTATTTTTAGAATTAAAATTAATTAAATAAATTCCTTCGAATTCCTAATCAAATAAAATCCAATTAAAATTAATTGAAAAGTTGTACTATTTGTTTGTATTTTTTAATATTCGCTAAAATTCTTGAAATCTTAATATTAATTTTTTTCACATTGTATTGATAGTGAAATCCGGTGTGTTAAAATTATTATATCGCTTTCTGCCGCGAAATAGCCGAAAAACATCAAAATTATCTTCTACCAAAGACATCCGGCGATCGACACAAAATACTTTTGTTTCTTGATGATTATAGGTGCGTTCGTCTCTTCGAATCTACCCTTTCGTATTCTGCTTTGATATTTCTTGCGCTTTCTTCCTGAAGTAGATGCAGACACCATAAATCTTGAGAGAAACAGTCAGTCAGTCCGCCCGAGGAATCGTCGTATTCTTTTCCTATTCGTACTACTCTTCCTCCATTTTCCCTTTTTTTTTTACGAGAGATAAAGAATCGATGGAAACTCGAATTCAATGAGGAGGGATGGATAGGAGCCGACGAAGGAGGGATGGATAGGAGCAGAGGCGCGAGGCAGACGGAAAGATGAGCTTGTACGAATCGCAGAGACAAAGGGAGAGAGGATAGAAAGGGAAGGAAATGTATATAGCCGGTCGATCCTACATTTTGCAATTCCAATCCCCGCGCTGTAACGCTGCATTGTCTCGATTGCGGCGAACGGTAGAAGCGTTTTCGTCGCGATCTACCTGCTTCGTCGCTTTGACGTCGCCATCGGATCGCGATTAATCGCGCGCCGTTTGCGTTTTGCAGTTAATCGCCTCGTGAATGGTATGCGTACGTACGTGTGTGCCGACAGCGATTCTGTAACTCGCAAACTTGTAATTGACGAGCTGTAATTGAAAAGCTGAGGGAAAAGGGTGTAACTGCCACAAACTATAACATCGGGAAAAGGAAGAGGAAAAGTTATCCAATGATTTGATGCGCGACGAACATTAAGGGTAATACTGGCGAATGTTGTAAAATCTAATTAAGATTAGCATTGATGATTTAATTTTTGTTTCAATGTCTTATATTTGGCATTTAAATCGATTTTTTTATTCGACAAAATAAAAAACTCGTTCTTCATCATTTGATTTCGCGGAATATATAAAATCTATGCATTCCAATCATTATATTATATTTATTTTTCATGCATATTGATTCGATTTTTTAAAACTGCATCATGAAAACGTTATTAATTTTGCTGCTACATCTCGAGATATAATCCTGTGTATAAGACAGTCGTATCGGTAATTAGTGCCGATTCATTTGCCAAAGCAACGGACTAGACCGTTCTCAATTTAATTTCGATGGTGCTTTTGCGCGCGCACAATTCTAAGAAAATTACTTCTATCCCTAAGAAGAATCTCAAACGAGCGATAAACCACTGAGGTAGTAAGCAACTTAAGCTTTTCCACGCTTTATCAGTCAGCTATTGTAAAATTTTATGTACTCAAAGTTGCAGTATTGAGATTTAGTTGTGCAACTAAAAACGATATAAAAATGAAAATTAAAAACGTAATAAAAATTTATATAATTTAAATAGTATTTGCAAATTAATGATAATTAAGATAATTTTTATAATTAATAATAAACATACGATTAACACGTATATAAATATCTAGAACGTTTTGAAATTATGAAGTCGGAAAATGTGCTTTTATTTATTTTCTAAACAATATAACTCGTATAATCTTTCTAATATGGTAAAAAATCAAACTTATGCAAACAACCTGCGTGCATAATTTACAGTATAACGACGTATGAATTTCAGCGATTCGCGAGTCAGCGAGTGATCCCGAGTTGCGTTGAAATAACCATTAACTGGGTCGGAAATACAATGCTCGTCAGTTACATTCGCAGAATTGTTCTGTGGCGAGTCACGCGGCCGACCTCATGTCAAACGCGTTTAAAGACCCTCCATTTTTCCCGTCTTTAGATCCATACGAATCTCGGTTAGCTTACCTTGAATTAGCATATATTCTCGTGTCCCTTTCTAAAGTTCCGAGTCCTTTTTTCCACAATCGACGGAAAAGGAAAAAAGTACAAGAAAATTGCGTGTTAAAAAACAAGTGCACGCTCGAGAAATACAAGTGGTATAAAAGTTGGCGCGAAATATGCCAGGCATCTATATGTATATTGTTTCGCGCTTCTTCCTTGCATTTTTACACATCGCATTCTTGATCCGGGGCAAATTTACGCAAAACGTGCACTATTATATCGGGATCATTTGAATATGCGGAAAGTTCAACGAGCAAAGTTTTGAGAAGCGTTAAGAAAACCTAGTTTCATTCCGCGTGTTCGGTGCAGCGTAAACGATTAATGGCAAGAAACGTGAATCAATTTTCTAAGAAGGAAACGTTGCTCTTTTTGACCTAGGTTACCGACGCGATATCGATCGTCCACCGAACAGCAGAGGAGGGACCAATTAAGGATACTACCCCATTTCCACAGCTGCGAGTCGAGATATACTCTCGCGCTTACTTCATGAAATACTTCTTTAACTCCCGCACAAGCGCTGCCTTGGCGTCAAACACTTGTCGCTTCATGATTCAGGAGCTATCCGGAAGACGGGAAAGAAACGGAGAAAGAAGAGGCGGCGAGGATGGGACGACGACTGAAGACGACGAGAGAAGAGCGACGTTGAAGAAGCAGGAGGAAGGGTAAAATGTCGAGGGGAAAGTTGAACGAGAAGAGACGAGGGAAGAGAGGAGCGACAGAGAACCGAGAGATAGATCTCGAAGGGCAGACCGAGATGGGGAGCAACGCCGAGGGAGGGCGCATGAGGAGGGATGGAAGGCGTCGGTGCATGCGCAAGAATTTCACACGTGAGCCCGCGAATCCGCGAGAGAGGTTTGCTTCGAGCGCGAGACTTCCTGCCGTTTCAGTGTCGTGCGCGATTCCGTACGCGGCGCTTGTGCGAAGCGACGACTGTGCCAGGACTCGTCCCGATAGATCGACGTTGGCACCGTTTCAATCGGGAATCGCGAGAGAATCCGCACTCGTAGCCTGGCCATGATCGAGTATTCCTCCCAGTCTCCCGATGGAAACTCTGCGAGTCCGATGATCGATCGGAGGATCGAATTACAAGCAGCCACGAGGAGCAGCGAGGCGACTGATCATGGAAATCGCGACGCGTAATCGGCGTAAAGATAGTCGTCATATCGGTAATCGCTCGCGCGGGATAATTCGACGGATGACGTCGAAATGACGGGGATGTAAAATTGAAACCGTTTGGCAGCTGAGAGAGAAATTAGTCTACGGATAGGCTGAAGCACAGATTCTCCCTAGACTCGGAGGCTTGTCACTCATTCTACCGCGAAACAGAAGCTCGTGCCGCGATAGAGCCACGCGATAGTAAATCACAAGGTGGCAGGTTTTCGCGCGCGGCTGTCAGGTGGAAACGCCGCTCCACTTCGCTCCGACTGACAACAGCTTTCTTCAGCACGTCACGGCAGACAGGCAGAGTTTTCGCGAAGCGTCGCGTCGAGACGACTCCGCGCGAGAATCTGTCGTCATTTCCATTATCGTCATCATTCTAAGGACGATAGCAGAAGTCGGCCACTTCGCCATCGATCTGACGTAACTCTCGCCGATTAGCCATAAATAACCACCACTACTCTTTGGCGTGTAGCACCCGGTGAGTACCCGGTGTGTTGCCACGGTGGAATCCCGCTCGTAATGACTCGTAATTGCGCGGAGGAGGAGCCGACGTCGTGCTGGAACGATTTAAGGGACACCTAGCAGCGCCACCCGCGCCCTTCGCTATAATGATTAGATGCACGCGACTACGAGGATTACCTGGTTGAGGTGGAGGATCGAGAGACGCGAGGGTGTATGACCACCGGCTGAAATCTGAATACGTGAGTGGTCGACCGCGACCTCGACGAACTCTGGTCTCTTCTACCGAAACGATCCGACGACTGATCGTTAACACTCGCCCGGACGCAGATCAGCGATTCACGGCGTATTCGATCGAAGGAAGGATTCAATTGGAAGGTAAGGGTCAATTTCACGAGGGCGATTATAATCGAGAGCGATTATCCTCCATTCTTCGCTTTTGTTCCACTTCTTTTTCCCCTCCCATGCGTCTCGTTTGTTCTACGACACGTAATCGATAAAATAACGGCGACATTAGGATAAGAATAAAGTTAAAGTATTTTCAAGCGTGAAGCTACATATAATAATGTTCTTTTAATGTTTATTCATCAACTATATTTAAATTTAACTAATCTATACGTATACAAAATTATAAAAAATACGATTCATACATTGTATTATTCGAAAATATTCAATTGTGTTGAATTCCCTCTCTCTCTCTCTCTCTCTCTCTCTAAATTTATATCATAATGTATATCTCGTTTTACTCCAATTCTGATGAGTTCAAATTTTCATGCTTCAATAAAATGATGTTTATATTCGCGTTGATGAAAACAGAACTAGTGACATGTATTATACGAGAGAAAGTCATTAAAGTATGTCACAAATGGTTATTGTAAAATAAAATAAAAAGATTCTGTCTACTATATATATGTACATATATGAAACGAAGTCACATTAATTAAGTGTCACGCATGGAAATAGAATAAATTTTAGCTTCTAGATTGTGGCAGCGGTTGTTGACACGATCCAATAATCAATCAATAACCATTTGTGACGCACTTAATGACTTTCCCTCGTATTTTTGAAAATTTAATTCAGCGAAATTATAGCGGTTTTGATCTCGCTGGTCGGCTCCCGCCGTTCTTTCATCTGTCGCGTGTTCGTGCGGGATGCGGTCGCGCATCATTTCTCTTAATGCCCGTCGACGATCCGTAAATCCCGCTGAAAAACGCATCCACTCTCGGTGCTTCGCGTTTCTTCCTCGCACCGGTACTCGGTGCTCGCTCTCCATTTCCCGCGGGCTTTAACGACGTACGAGTGGCTCGCGGGGTTTTTATCCCAACGGTCTAACGAGCTCGATTACGCTCATTACGGATTTCATTCGCGATAGTAGCGAATGGTTGTTAGGGATCATCGTGTTGCACCGTCGATTCTCCCTTATGAGAACCGCGGCCGCGCAAGTGTGACAAAAATAAAAGAAAGATATATAGAAAGAAAAAGAGAATGTCGATGGGGGACTCTCTCAGAGAGAGGGTAATGAAATTTTTAAGAAATCAGGGATTCTCGGTGGAAAACGTTACTCGGGAAATGTAATTCGGAACTCACGCTTCGCTCAAATTAAGTAATGGAATGTAATTTGCACTTTTGTTCTTCATTGAGGCATTCTTTTTACTCATTATTCTTTCGCTTATTTTAATTAGATGTAAAATGGAAACGATTTCATATAATATTGACCGTTATATGAATATTACATCTCATGTGTGTGTGTGTGTGTGTGTGTGTGTGTAGGATGATATTAAAATTATTAAATATTCAAATGTATCTTACATATATATAATAAATTTTGAATTATGCGATCCGCGTAAATATTATTTTATTTTTCAACTAATAAAATAATTAATTGAAAATTAAATGTACCATGTATAAGTGAAAATAATTAAAATAATACAAAAAGTTTAATAACGAGCAGATTTTTTAGTTAATCATGATGCATGGCGTGAATGGCGTGGTGAAATCTCGTTGATATTAAAATCTAAGTCGTTGCTTACCGATGAATATAAAAAGTACATGGGTGTGGAAGCTTGGATTAATAAGAATCTTTCGTGAGAAGTACATTCGACGCGAAAGCCACGTTTTCAGCATCCTTCGGCCGCATTCATCCTTCAGCTAACAGGCTTCATTACTCTCATTGAATTTCGTTGAAAGTCGTTATATATCTTGCACGAATAGTCGAAATCCGCTCGTCGTAATGAAATAAAATCGTATTCCTTGTGCATTGCATTTTAATAAAAATCGCTGCATTTTGGGAGAAATAAATTCTGTACTTGCAAACTTTTTCCATAAAAAAATATACAGAAAATATTACTTTTAAAGAATCAATAAATTACTTATCATAAACTATAAAAATATATGTATATGCGATTTAAAATAATGTACAAGTATGTACACAAAATTATTTTGAGTATATAATTTATACCGAGACGAAGAGAGAGAGAGAGAGAGAGAGAGAGAGAGAGAGAGAGAGAGAGAGAGAGAGAGAGAGAGAGAGAGAGAGAGAGAGAGAGAGAGCAAGTTACTCGTGCTATTACAAAGTTCACTACGATTCAACGAATGTTCGCTTCGAGGCTCGACGACCCTTGTAACGTGTCTGGCTTTTAGGGCGTAATGGACACGTCACCAACGTTAAGCATCGGCGGTTCGAGGGCCAGGGCGGCCCTTTTGACCACCAGTGGCACCGGAACCGGTAGCACCGATAGACGGGTCGTCTTTTTAGCAAGTCAACCATCGGTCGGCAGCAGTCACGAGACCAAAACTTGGCCTCACCATTGGTCACCGCACACGGTATGTAGCTTGTCATTAAAAGCTTGTATCTCGGTTAAGTAATATAAGATTTATTGACAGTATTTTCAAATTTGAAATTGTTTCAACTCTAAGAGTACAATCTGCATACTTTCTCAGTTTAATCTGGCAATGAATATTATAATGAATATTATAATATCTTCGAAAAAAATTATTATTCTATTTTTTATTAAGAAATTTTTATAAGGACATATTTGAAAGTCATATTACATAATCAATTTACTCGTATAATATATTTCTATATATTCTTTATATTCTTTTTTATATTTCATGTATCAAATTTCAATTTTCACGAAAGCTGGTTTAATCCCATAGAATGAGGAATTTCTGATCTTTTTAATTATATCATTCCATTTTATACTCGTCAATTCTACCTTGATATTGTCTCGATGAGATTTGCAACTTTTTTTACCGTCCATTTTCATCGCCGGCTTCTGTTTGTCTCTTTCACAAGGTGCAATCATTGTTGTGCGTTGGCGAAACGAATAACAAGTAATGCGCTAATGAAGCAATCAGAGAACACGTGGAGATTTAATTATAGCGGAGGTCCGCGTTACGAGCCAGAGAGCGAAATTACTCCGTTGAGAATAACGAGAGATCGATTCGCGCGAGCTATTCGGACTTTTACGACATGCGGAATTATGCCGCGACGCATATAGGTCGGTACAGCACAATCGAAATTAAAATGGCCTGGCCCCATCGATGCCAACCATCGGGACCGACATAAGCATCGCACAATGCTGTGACGCACGGAAATATCTATACGATGCGTCGGTATTCGCGCGACGACAGCTGACAATTCTCGAAATAATTAATGCACGGAGATTGACGAAGCGCCGAAATAAATAATACGAAATTGAACCGTCGGTAGTCAACCTGTCGTTTGAGCGCTTCCAAATCTGAAATAGCGATCCACATAATAAGAGATTTGCTTTGTAGGAAATATAATAACGTTGAGAGAAATTAATCATTTTTTCACAAATCATATAAAATAGAAACAAGCATATTTTGACTCATAAATTGTGTCCATAAATATCTTTATTTAAAATATTAATATAATTTTTCACGGATCGATATAAATTTCCTTTATCATAAAGGAATGAAAAATAAAAGATTAGATTAGACTTATTTTTTTTCTTTAATACACGATTTAATTAGACTTAAAGATACAGTTTAATATTTAAAGCATCGGAATCTAAACTTTGCTCTTCCTCTCTAATTTATCTCAAGTGGAATTACTTTTTATTTTTTTCGAATAAATATTTACGGAATAATTAATCTGCTGATTTTCAAACATTGGGTCTTGAAGAATATTAATTGCACGAATATACACAACATAATATCTTAAATATTTCATTTAAAGATAATTCTACCAAATATCCAAGATATTCCATAACTTTTTAAAGAAATAAAAACTAGCATAAGCAGTATTAGTTTCACCGGTGTGTCGTTTGCTTTGCTCGATGTTCAGATTCCGAGAGAAACAAATTTTTTTATTCAGGCAAATATTAAAAAGCGACGACAGGCGAGAGCGAATCGGGCCGGTCCAGGCTGGGTTGGCGTGAAAATGAATCGACCAGATTCAATTCCTATGCATTTAGCGCATTGACTGTTATCGGCCGTGTCGGCCGGCCTGACGACGATACGGGCTCGCTTTGGCATTGTGATTCCCCCTTTGCTGGACCACGCGGGAATCTCTCTCTCTCTCTCTTTCTCTCTCTCTTCCCTCCGGCGCGTACAGAGTGGAGCGAATAACCTCTCGCACATGCGGAATTCTGAATTCCGTTCGTCACCCGCACGTATTCGCGTGGCGCGTGCACGCGAGGGCCATATGCGGGATATACAGCGGGATTGTATAGCGGGACCAGAGAGGAAGCATGACGGGAGAAGAGACGACACGCGGATGGACGGGGCCCCGGAGGGCGTCGGGGGATATTTCGGAGGAGTTCGGTACACGCGGATAGCACGGTTATTAATTTAACGGCGATGGATACGGGCTTGTGAGAGACTCCCGTTTCGGCTCGCCTCCGTATGCCGCTACATACATATCGGCGGGTTATACATATACATACGCACGTGCGTGGCAGGGCATGAGCGAAGATTCGGCGCGATACACGGATTGCGGATATTATTGAGACAACTTAGGGGTTAATTCGCAGTAAATTGTATTTTCGCGACGTGATGTTAACGCTACCGGATGACGAATCGAAAATGACGTTACGATTATCCTTATCATCATTCGCGGTTGATATATTTCATGGCGCAGCTTGGACAACTCGAAACGATTTTCGATACGAAAACTCCGTTACGACGACGCCGTGATTAATTGCGAAATCCGTTATTGGTTTCGCGACTTCTGAACATTTTATACTCGCTAGTGCAGAGACGTATCGGATCCGGTCGATCATTCTCGTCAAGTCGTGAATCTAATTTTGGTTTCACCATACCGTACCTTTCAGTTTAGTCGATACTAATTAACCAGCTGTAACTTGATTCTAACTGGGATTCTCTCCACTATGTTCATCTACGCTATCGATTTTGAAATAAAAATGAAATCTTGTTATCTTAATATCGTAGACTAATTTATTACTAGATTCGATGATACATGTACAGATAAAAAATTGAAAAAAAAGCAAGAGGATCTAGGGGTTACTTTCTCCCTTCTCTTTCTCTACATGCGAAAAGTAAAAAGATGATACCGAAAGAGCGCAATTGTCCGAGTGCATTCTTCGCTAAAAATATTAACGAAGGATAAAAAGATCTGCAGAGAACGTGTTTAAAGTAAATGGCGTTTTTTAAGCGTGACCACGGGTTCTCCAAAGAGGAGAAAAGCTCCGCGAACGAGCGCTATCGTCGCGGTGACGGGGTGCGGATGACAATTTGATATCCGGGAAATGCGAGGTGGTCAGTAAGGATCTCGTTACTCCGTTCACAATGTACGTCATCGTCCGTATAGGAGGTCAATCTTGGCCGTGCGTGTGGCTTTTACGAGGAGAGGCCCCATTCCCTCCGGACCGGGCATCGGCCGCGATCTCCCCCGCTTAACTCCAATGGGGAACGGGGCAAGGGGCAGGATGGGATGCATTTGCATAGTTATTCAGCCGCGCCGGATGAAAGTCGTTACGGCCTTCGAGAATTTCACCGCCGAAATTATCGACCACCACCCCCGCGCGGTTGCGCCTTTCATTCGCGCGCCGTGTTTCTGTCGCGACGTATGTAAAAGGCGGCAAGTGCCCCGATCATAAATCGACGGCTGATTCTAACCCTTTCAGACCGCCCGGTCTATATTTACGAAGAGAGAACTCCGAAGCTTTTATCCAAGTGCTTTTCACGGAGATGATAGGTTATTTCGAAATTTCAGGAGAATTTCTAGCTGAATTTCACTTTTGAAATCTGAACTGCACTTATCATAATGCTCCGAACGATGGAATTTTTTATACTCTACGTACTGTTTGAAATAATTTTTTACAATAATTCCGGCAAACAATAAACTATAAAATATGTAAAAAAACATCAGAGATGAAAATACAAAACGCGCGCACAGCAGAGATATGTCGAATCGTAAATTGTTTTAATGTGTCTATTTAATATATTAACATATTTTGCATTTCTGTAATGTAAACTTTTTTATGAATGTGAGGTAGAGGAAAAATAAAAAATAAAGAATTAATAAGTTTTTAAAAGTTGAAAATGTTTAGTAAACTCAATTTAGTGATATTACATCAAAACGTAATACTTATGAAATCGTTTAGCTTCCCTTTTTTTATTCCTTATTAAAAGATTTTAACTTTCCATTTAACTTTTATACCGCAATTTTATTAAATTGTGTGCAAGTTCGGCAATATTGAAAGATGCCATTAGTAATTTTAATAAAAAAATCATGCATGCGAGCAATATAATCTGTCTCAAATTTAAAAAATTCAAATCCTGATCCATCTCCATTCCGAAATATTACTCTGCATCAAATTGCAAATTATATTCTTCCTTTAACAATGTTTAGTTATCGAGTGAATGTAAATTAACTGGAAATGAATGGATTACTATTCGTTCGATTAATCAATAATTTAAGCCGGAGGGAATTAAGAAGCACTCTCCGTCTCGCGTATTAACTCGGAAACGTAATGGCTCGCGTTGTCGCGCCGACGGTTCTTCGACGGTCGATAAGTGGGTCAATCATACGTAATGGGTCTTAATTCGAGTGGTAATTCGGTAATTAACGTGGAATTGCGAAGAGTACGGTACCTTTCCGAGCGCAATCGAACGCGGGCGTAATCGATATGGTAAGCGCGCGATGGAATTGGTATTATTTACTCCGTTATGCAAACACCACTAAGGTAATCAAAGACAAATATTGTTTCCATCGTGGTTGGCGCCATGATATTTCGAAGTGAGACAAGCTTCCTTTGCTAATTGGTAGTTTACCGGCTAATTGTGTGCTGCAATTTATACCGGTGTCCCGCGTGTCAGAACTCTCGGTTATACTTTGAAGGATGAGGAGGGATTATATATTTGTCGCATAATTTCCCATATAACGTGCCAAAAAGCATGAGATAATTAAAGGTAAATAATAGTGATGCTATTGTAATATTGTTCGATCGTGTAGCAATGCTATTGTAATATTGTTCGATCGTGGTGACAAGTTTTGAAATGAAATGTAGAAATTGACAAGTTGAATAGAATATCTTTGTAGCTTTTGTCTTTCCAGATAACACATGGAACTATACATGATGTATAATATTAAAGTCTTTTTATTAAACTATTCTTGTTATAACTTATTAAATATAATTTATTAATGCCGCAATAAATGTCTTTTTTTTTAGAGGAAAGGTCAATTGTCGCTTATAATCTGAAGATTAATCTCATATTATGTCAGCACTATTAGATCGACTGTAAGCATTATTCAATAATATACTAATGCAATTTCCCGCATTCTACACGATACAGATTTATCGGTGCATAAACGTTGCCGTTGACTTGAAAAT